GTGTTTGTTGGCTAAAACATTACTTGTGTATTAAGCAATTGAAGACATGAAAGTAATCACAGCTAGAAATCGAACTGTTTTTAGCTTGAGAGCTTAAAAGTTCTCGACCTGTGTTTTCTCTCGAAGCAAGTTATCCGGGTAACCTATCAATCGACGGAGAATCATTTCGGGGAGTTGCAAGTGTAAATTGTCCCAAATTATACTTTTTTTTAAGAAATGTAATAAAAAAAAAAACGGGAAAGTGTTTTTTTTTTTAACAGAAACAAAAGAGTTTCTTTAGAAAAAAAAGCACTTTTATGTGAGTATTTGTATCTTACCTAAATTTGCTCATTTTTTTGCTGGGCCCAAAACCTAATTAGTAAGACATGACTCAAAAACGCCATCTAAAAACTGAGGTGTCAACAATGAGCTCTTCACCTGAATCCACTGCGGTCTCCGAGGGCATCGCCTCAGTACCCGACACTAGCTCGTCTATCCCTATAGAAGGCATTGCAACGCTACTAACCGTGGGGTTGGGACTATTCTACTGGTTCTGCTTCCGCCCAGGACGCATTCGCTCCCCCACTTCACCCCCCACCAATGCAGAACGATTGTCTGCAGCATTCATGAATGAGCGTTTTGCTGTGTTTGTGGAGCACGAAATATCTGCAAATGAGGCGGCGCTATTCGTGGCGGATGGAGGTCGCATCGAGCCGTTCCGAGCGCTATATGACGCGCTCCGAGTTCCACTCCACGTCGTGGACTTGACACGGATAGCTGGTGGTTCAAAAGTGCTGGTAGCTCTGCACGAGACGTACGCGGGACAGGTCGAACACGAGTATTTATTTGTCAGAGGACAGTTGGTGGGGGGACTGAAACAGCTGCGTGGTCTCTTGATTGACGGACAGAAGGAACAGCTTGGAGAAAAATGTGACTGGAGTCACGTTCGAGTTGATAGGAAAAGTAACACTGGCTTCATGATTCTCAGTACAATGAACGGCTTTCAAGGCGTTGAGGAGGTTGAGGAGAAGACTGTCAACTTGGAGACGAGACCGCTGCGTACGGTGGAGGAACTTCGCACTTTTGACCCGATGACACTTGTGGGGTGTTGTGTGCCAATTGCATCTTGCTCCAGGAAGCAACGCAGACGCAGTAAGCTGCTTGTGTGCCATGACATGAAAGGAGGATACCTGGAAGACAGATTCATACAGGGATGCGACGACTTTGATGCGTATCGATTCTATCAGTGGGATCTGGTGGACTTGTTCGTGTACTTTGGACATGCGCTAGTGTGTCCACCACCCAGCGGGTGGATCGCTGCCGGCCATCGTCATGGTACCCGTGTTTTAGGTACTTTTCTGACTGAAGGTGATGAAGGTACAGAGTTATGCAAAGAACTGTTTCAAGATGCTCAATCAGCCGAGGTAAGCTCCCGATACGTGCTCTACCGAATGACCACCTAGCTCACTAATGCTACTACATTTGTACGCAGATGTTTGCATCAAAATTGGCTGCTATTGCTTGGCACGGTGGCTTCGATGGATGGCTGATTAACGTGGAAAACGACGTTCCTGCTGAGCTTGTGAGCAATATTGACGTGTTTCTGCGCACTCTCCGCAAGGGCATGCAGCTTCAAAACCCACTGGCACAAGTCGTGTGGTATGGCAGTCTCTCTAGATCGGGTAAACGCAGTTCATACGCTCGTTTGGACGAATCTAGCAGCGAGTTCTTCCGTAACGTCGATGGCTTCTACGTTGACTACGGCTGGACACTTGACGACGCGAAATTCTCAGCTGCTTTTGATCTAGATCGTCGTTACGATATCTTCATGGGTATCGATGTGTTTGGAAGACACGGCATGCTTGGAGGTGGGAAAATGAAGTGTGGCGAGCCGCTTCGTCTGGCGTGGAATGCAGGCGTGTCTGCTGCAGTCTTTGCCCCTGGATGGACTTACGAATGCTACCAGCATGAGGTACAACAAGACTTTGTCGTTGTCGAGAACCGCTTTTGGAGTACTGTACGGGAGAGCTGGAAAGGGAAGAGTCCGTGTTATGATGCGTTGGGGGGACAGAATTGCCTCTACACTGCATTTAACATTGGTCGTGGCGTGGGTGTCTGGACGGAGGGGAAGCGTGTGGGGACTTCAACATGGTCCAACATGACAGAGCTGGACATCCAGCCAGACCAGGCGCTGCATGTTGGTAAAATCGTCACTACTGCTACGGGGTCTATGCAGGCTGTTATCTCGCACGATACAGCCCTCCACGGAGGTGCAAGCGTGCAATTACAGGTAAGACCGGATAAGTGTTCATGGTAGTGTGCTGCTTCGTACTAACCTGATTTTACTGCATCATAGGGCCAATTAGTTGGACGGGAAAAATCGTATTTCAAGCTCTTCGACGTGGATATTGAGTTCTCGCCACGCCGCGTTATGGAGATTTCATACACGACAGCAACACGCGAGGAATCAGTGTGTCTACTAGTGTTGACAGTGTGTCCGGGTCTGGATCGTGCTACACATTACGTGATCCTACGCTCCGTGGACGACTCGGGGCCGGACTCTGGGGATAATCGAGTGGACCTTAAGAAAACGCTGTCAACGGTTGCGAAGGCCTCATTGGAGAAGCATTTTTACTTGCCAGTCTCCACTGAGGTTTTCGACATGGAAGGTGTCAATGCTGAAGCTGTGCAAGGTATCACCTCTGATGGCTGGTGCAAGAAGACGTATCGTCTAGGAGGGCAGCTTTGGGATCAGAAACATATTGTGGAAATTGGCGTATTGTGCACCAAGAAAATTAGGAAAGTCTCCGGTGAGCGCAAAGACTATTTGGCTTATATTGGAGAGGTTTGTGTGGTTGGTAACAGTGGCAAACCTGCCGTGAAGGCGGCCCACCGAGATATACACAGCCAGCCAAGATGCTGCGAGAACGCGAGGATCACGTCTTTCAAGCGCAACGATGCTGAGTCGGTATCTTTTGGAGTGCAATGGAATTTTACAGCGGATGGAGAGCTTGTGCGCTATGTGTTGGTGTTTACCTGCATCGACAACGGTGAGCGGATTTTCGTGGGTAAAAGCTTTGACAATTTCTTATGGTTGGACAAGCACGCATGGCAACGACGAGAGCGAGCCACGTCATCTTCGTCGCACGCATCGACTCGCCTCACGATTGAGCTGCGCAGTGTATCATGGGCCGGACAGAGTAGTACTTGCGTTTGCCAATTGCATTTGGAAGAGTAAAGTGCTAGAGAGCTTCGATACTCCAACCTTGAGTCAAGTTAACAACTGAAGCAAGAAAAAAAGATGTAGCGATCAGTGCCGCCGCAATTTTAGAGACTGTCATTGGTTGACGCGGATAAGAACGATGTTCTGAACTAGCTTTCTCGAACATACCGGTATGCGAAGCTACCCCCGTCTCATTGAGCACTTCTGCTAGTTACCGCTGAGTTTACTCGCTCGCTTCATCGATTACGCGTGACTGGTTTAACGAGTTTTGTCACATGTCAAAACTGAACCAAGACGGGGCAATCACTTCAACGTCACTGGTGACGCGCAATCCCGCTGTACTCAGATTGCGCGCCAAAGTCCCGCGAAATCAACAGCAACTTGTTGACGCGCGACACCGATTGCGTTGCTCGCTTTTGTTGACTGCAGAAATACTGGTTAAGCTCATTCCGGAATTTGCTCTCGACTTCACAAGCACTTTCCAATCTTCACTCCAATCGTCACAATGGACAAGAAACTGGGTCTGGACTCGGCCGACGCGTTGATGGCTCAGGGCCCCAATGCGCTGCACAGCTACGTCGCTGATAAAGTGCAGGCTGCCATGGGCAAGGCCATGCCTCAAATGGAGGTGCGCTTCAAGAACTTATCCATTTCCGCCAAGGTTTTCGCCTCCAGACACTCGGACCCCAAGTCCCAACTCCCTACACTGTACAACAGCGTCAAGAAATCTGCTGCCAAGATCAACGCCAAGAACCACACAGCCGAGAAAGTGATCCTCAAGAATGCTAGTGGCGTCTTCAAGCCCGGTACAATCACTCTGCTTCTGGGTCAACCTGGCTCGGGAAAGTCGTCACTCATGAAGGTGCTGAGCGGTCGATTTCCACTGGAAAAGAATGTAGCAATCGAGGGTGAGATCACGTACAACGGCGTCCCGCAGGCCGATATCATCAAGCGACTCCCGCAGTTCGCGGCTTACGTGACACAGCGTGACAAGCACTTCCCCACTCTGACTGTCAAGGAGACTCTCGAGTTCGCACATGCCTTCTGTGGAGGTGGCATCTCCAACTGCACAGAGGAACTCCTTTCCAAAGGCACCCATGAAGAGAACACAGCAGCGTTAGAAGCGTTGTCGGCACTATATGCCCACTACCCTGATGTAGTGATCAAGCAACTAGGACTAGAGAATTGCAAAGACACCATCGTGGGCAACGCAATGCTTCGTGGTGTATCGGGAGGAGAACGCAAACGTGTGACGACTGGCGAAATGGAGTTTGGAATGAAGTACATGACACTTATGGATGAGATCAGTACCGGTCTCGACAGTGCAGCTACCTTCGATATCATCAGTACGCAGCGTGGTATCGCTAAAACCCTGCAGAAGACGGTCGTCATTGCTCTGCTGCAACCCTCACCTGAAGTTTTTGAGTTGTTCGACGACGTCATGATCCTGAACGACGGTGAAGTCATGTACCATGGACCTCGCGACCAAGCTGTACCGTTCTTCGAAAGTTTGGGTTTCAAATGTCCTGCAGATCGTGATGAAGCCGACTTCCTTCTAGACTTGGGAACCAACCAGCAGTTTGGTTACGAGGTGGATCTTCCAGCAGGAAAGACCTACCACCCACGGTTAGCCAGCGAATTTGCAGAGATCTTTCGGCGTTCATCCATTCACCAACGGATGCTTCGAGCATTAGAAGACCCACACGAACCTGCACTCCTTGAGAATGTTGGTGCACACATGGACCCAATGCCAGAGTTCCGTCGTGGGTTTTGGGAGAACACCCGAACGCTCATGAAGCGACAGACTATGGTTACTCTCCGCAACACTGCGTTCATTAAAGGACGGTGCATTATGGTGGTGCTGATGGGACTTATCTACTCGAGCACCTTCTGGCAAGTGGACCCCACCGACGTGCAGGTAGCTTTGGGAATAATGTTCCAAGCCGTTCTGTTCCTCGCTTTGGGCCAGGTCTCCCAGATCCCGACGTTTATGGCAGCCCGTGATGTGTTCTACAAACAACGTGGAGCCAACTTCTTCCCGACGGCAGCGTACGTGCTCGCGTGCTCGGTGGCTCAGGTGCCTATGGCTATTGCTGAGAGCGTTATCTTCGGTTCAATGGTCTATTGGATGTGTGGCTTCGTGGCCACTGCTGGGGCTTTCATCTGCTACATGATTCTGCTTATTCTGACGAATCTGGTGTTTTCCTCGTGGTTCTTCTTGCTCACGGCCATGTCCCCGGACTTCCACATTGCCAAGCCGTTCGCGACGTTCACGGTGGTTTTCTTCATTCTGTTTGCTGGTTTCGTTATGGCCAAGAGCACCATGCCCGGTTGGTTCGTCTGGATCTACTGGATCAACCCCATTGCGTGGTGTCTCCGTGGTCTCGCTGTGAACCAGTATCGTGCTGCCAAGTTCGACGTCTGCGTTTATGATGGCGTGGATTATTGCGCCGACTACAATATGAACATGGGCGAGTACTATCTGTCCCAGTACGATGTCCCGTCGTCCAAGGTCTGGGTGTGGGCTGCTATGCTCTTCATGATTGCATGCTATGCGCTCTTCATGGCGTTAGGGTGCTACGTGCTTGAATATCATCGTTATGAGAGCCCTGAGCACACGGTCATCAAGGACAAGGACGAAGAATCTGATGAGAGTTACGCGCTAGTAGCAACTCCAAAGGGTTCTACTACCAGCTCGGCGGAACGAGCAGTTGCGCTCGATATTGGACGTGAGAAGAACTTTGTGCCTGTCACTCTTGCCTTCCAGGACCTATGGTACTCGGTCCCGAAGCCTGGAAGCCCAAAAGAGTCCATTGACTTGCTTAAGGGTATCAGTGGGTTCGCTAAGCCTGGTACAATGACGGCTCTGATGGGCTCATCTGGCGCTGGTAAGACGACGCTGATGGACGTGATCGCCGGTAGGAAAACGGGTGGCACGATCAAGGGCAAGATTCTATTGAACGGCTATGAGGCGAACGACCTGGCTATCCGTCGAAGTACAGGCTACTGCGAGCAGATGGACATTCACTCGGACGCGACGACATTCCGTGAGGCTTTCACGTTCAGTGCATTTCTCCGTCAAGATAGTAGTGTCCCGGACCATAAGAAGTACGATTCGGTGGAAGAAGTTCTCGATCTTTTGGATATGCACGACATCGCAGACCAGATTGTACGTGGCAGTTCAGTAGAGCAGATGAAGCGCCTCACCATAGGCGTTGAGCTGTCTGCACAGCCTAGCGTGCTGTTCCTTGATGAACCGACCAGTGGACTGGATGCTCGTTCGGCTAAGCTGATCATGGATGGTGTTCGCAAGGTGGCAGATAGCGGACGGACCATCGTGTGCACGATTCACCAACCTTCGTCTGATGTGTTTTACCTGTTCGACCACTTGTTGTTGCTTAAGCGTGGAGGTGAGACGGTGTTTGTTGGTGAACTGGGCGAGAAGTGCCGTAAACTGGTGGAATACTTCGAGTCGATCCCTGGTGTCACTCCGTTATCTGACCGATACAACCCAGCCACCTGGATGCTGGAGTGTATCGGTGCCGGTGTAAACAGCGGAGGTCGTAACACGATGGACTTTGTGGAGTACTTTAGGAACAGCCAAGAGAAGCGTATCCTGGACAATGAGATGGCACAGGAAGGAGTCACCGTACCAGCTTCTCATCTACCGGAGATGATCTTCCAGAAGAAACGTGCAGCCAGTTCATGGATACAAGCCAAGTTCTTGACGATGCGCTTCATGCGCATGTACTGGCGTACACCCACGTACAACATGACGCGCTTCGCTATCGGTCTGTTCCTCGCTCTGCTGTTCGGTTTGACGTATGTGGACGTGGAATATGTGAGTTATCAAGGAATCAACGGTGGTGTGGGTATGGTGTTCATGACGACTCTATTCAACGGCATCGTGTCCTTCAACGGTGTTCTACCCATTGCCTCGGGGGACCGTGCTGCTTTCTATCGTGAACGCGCTTCACAGACGTACAATTCGCTCTGGTATTTCGTTGGCTCGACAATCGCTGAGATCCCGTACGTGTTTATCAGCTGTCTGCTTTTCACGGTGATTTTCTACCCGTTAGTAGGCTTCACTGGCTTCGGGACGGGAGTGCTCTACTGGATCAACCTCTCGCTATTGGTGTTGTTGCAGACGTACATGGGTCAACTCTTCGTCTACGCACTACCGAGCGTGGAGGTGGCAGCAATTATTGGTGTACTCATCAATTCGATCTTCTTCTTGTTCATGGGCTTCAACCCTCCGGCCAAGTCCATCCCTAGTGGCTACCGTTGGCTGTACACGATCACTCCTCAGCGATACCCGCTTTCTATCTTGATGGCTCTGGTCTTCTCCGATTGCCCCACAGAGCCCACATGGGATAGCAATCTTGGACAATACGTCAATGTTGGCTCAGAACTCGGTTGCCAACCCGTGACGAACCTCCCAGTGACAATTGACCACATTACGGTCAAGGGCTACGTGGAGTCGGTGTTCGAGATGAAGCACGACGATATATGGAGAAACTTCGGCTACGTCTTTGTGTTTCTCGCCGTCCTTCGTTTGCTCGCGCTGCTTTCGCTGCGTTACATAAACCACCAGAAGAGATGAGCGTCGCTAAACCTTACTCTCACTTTTAGAGAATAGATAACCTTTTTAATTAAAAAAAATCAAAATAAAGTAAAAACTCTGGATCGATAGCGTGGAAATATTTCTGCATTGCAAGACGTTGACTACGTTGATGTTGTTGCGAAAATAAAGTTGAGGTGGCGCGCTGGAATGCACTTCAAAACCCGTACGTGCGTGTCTCGGTATTCGATCTCAAAGAAGAGATACTGGAGACGTCCACGCAGCTGCTTGTTGCTGAAAGCTGTCTCCGTCTTAATCTAGGCGTTCGATGGATACCTCCAGGTCTACGGGTAGTCTCTGCTCGATGTTTTCACTTGGACTTCGTTGCCTTCGAGGAAGTCAGTGGAATAGAATAATATAATGCCACGTACCAACGCGTCGACAACGCAATACATGCACGGTGCCAGACCCGTTTGCCTTGTACTGTAGTACATGCAGTCGTGACTCACGACTCGTTAGCACAGCCAACTTGCTGATTGAGACAGTCGAGTGATCAGAGATCCAAGATCCCTGCACCGTGAATGAATTTACTTGCTCGACGACTAGGCGATCGCAAGTTTTTACATGTAGT